TTTTTTGGGTGATCATGCTTGTTTTCTCGTCCTTGCGACGATCTCCTGTCTTTACTTTCTTGCCACGCTCGCACAAGACCAAGCGTCGTTTCCCCTGTCCAGTTGCGCTTCTCGAAAGGCGTTGGTTTGCATCGTTTTCGGTGCTGGTGCCGTCGACGACAACGGCTGCATCCTCATTCTTCTGCCTACCCGGCTTGCTAGCTTTCCCCATTCCTTCTCGAGGGGGGATCTTGTTGTGCTGAGAGAACGCCACGAAGAGGCGCTGAAGAACATTTAGTTTTGCAAGTTCCAGGCTCAGGAAGCTCCTGACGTCACTAAAACAAAGGCACTAAAGCGCGGTGATTCTTGGAACTTTTAGTGGCATTTTCTCCTGTTTCAGGGGAAATCTGGCGATGCTAAACACATTTCCCCTCGAACCTGGAACTTTTTTTCCAGGTTTCAGATTCAAAAGCTTTGCTAAACAGCACCACTGGGGGTATACCAGGGCAATATGCAGCGCACTTTATGTTGAAGTCTGCACCACGTCACAAGATTGTGTGGTGCACATAAAAGGCAACTTGCTGTGTCATCGAACATTCGGAGTTATTCCAATCTTCTAGAATTCGAGTGTTGCAGTAGGCAGTGCAGGAAGGATGTAGAGAGCTAGTTTAGTTTGATTCTCACTTTTCATTTTACGCTGCATCGGTAACAAGAAACTCAAGTCGTTTTTGGTTATGAGCCCAATAACGCCGTTGGAGTCCAACGACATCTTGCGAGAGGACAACTACTTTCTATGGGAATTCAACTGCCGCATGACGCTCGCGAGGAAGGACCTGCTAGAGCATGTACAAGATCTTACGGGGATGAAGCCAGCAGATACAGCGAAGCTGGGGACTGCTGAGTGGAAAGCCGCCGACTTTAAGGCGCTGGCTGTGATCTCCAAGCTGTTAAGCCCAGTCTATCAGACGATGATTCGAGAATGTTCGTCTGCTATAGAAGCGTGGAAGACGCTACGTGATTTTTTTGTCAAGGAGAATTTGCACAACCGAGTGATGCTTCGGAAGCAGCTGCATGAATTTCAAATGGCCCCAGGATCGGATTTGCTGGATCACCTGTTAAAGTTTGACGACCTCTGTTTACGACTATCTGCTGTTGGTGACGATTTAAGTGATGATGAGAAGTTGGTGATCCTCCTGGGGAGCTTGTCGAGTGAATATGACGCGATGGTGAAGATTATTGAGGCTCATTCGTCGGTAGCGTTGATTGATGCGAAAGAGATGTTGCGCCGCGAGTTTGAGACGCTGCGGAAGCGTGACAAG